TTTTTTCTTTCAGTGGTGGATTCTTATTTGCAACAATAAACACGACACACAAGATCATTCGACATGGCCTGCATATGCATACTTTGAGTCTTAGCAACAAAAACAATCATGAAGCATGAACAAACAATATCACATACCAAAACACGCAGGCGACAAAGAACTAGACCATGTAACAACTCTTACAGGTTACAGTAGCTGGCAAATTCTTCACGCTCACTAAAAGCCAAAGCTCTGAGAGAAAAATAATTGAAGAATTTGGGAGGGGTTGTCAAGAGGTACATCTCAGCTGAACATGCCCTGTGCCCCTGCAATGAACACCTGGCACATGAACTCCGGTGGCCGCCACGCGCATGCACCGCGTGCATCACACCTAATTTAGTTTGTCCAACTCAGAGGTGTCTCCTCAAAAGTGTCTGATTTAAGGCAGGCATGTCTGTGTTCAAGTTGAACCCCAAATCTGCACCAATGCACCACGTGCAGCACACATAATAGATTAGTTTGTCCAGAAGTGTCTCTTGTAAACTTCAAAGATGATCCTTCAATGACATGAACATAACTATATACACTCATGAGACTCTGGTGATGCCTTGGTACAAGTCCACTGCAATGTGACCCAGTTCTTGGCGCCTCCATCAGACGCCTCAAAACCACTTTCTAATCGTTCTATACCACTGCAGCGCCAAACCCGAAGTGCCTTGAACCCCCTGGGCCACCCAGCCAGCGTTCGTCTGGGCCTCCAGATCCGCCCGGGCCGAAAGGAGCCGCTTCACCACGTGGGACTGGTGATTCTCGGCAGCCCGATGAAGAGGCCTCTCACCTCAGTCGGTGGGTTGTTAAGTGGATTCATTTGGGTTTGGTTCAGTGGCCTGGTGGGAGGGCAACTTTCTTTTGGGAGAAGTTTCTTCAAGTTGTTTTTTCTTTCAGTGGTGGTTTCTTATTTGATTTGCAACTGACAGAAGCACAAAAACTGCTGAAACAGTGAATGGACGCGTTCCTCATTGTCTGCAGGTGTTGGTCCTGTGCTGTTCAGATTGGAGTGCCCATACCAGTATTGTGAACATTGAACCAGGAATCCTGCAAAACACTGAGTCGTTTGCTCCCAAATGCTCCCAGGCCAGGGTCAAGAAGTCTTGTTGGCTGTATACACAAAACAGGATCTACTTCTGTTCTATTCCAGCTATAGCACCTATCGACCTATATATAGGACACAATACAGCCGCGCTACGCCCAAATATGCCCAAATGGTGGTGGGATCAGGGGCCGTACTAGTCAATCCGACACCGACCTTCTTGGCCTCATGGCCTAGGCTATCAAAACTGGAGCTTCGCCCAATTTCTCCGCCTTGATTTGTTTTCCTGGCCATTCTGGTCTTCGGCTTCATTCGGCTTCCACTGTCGGCCAGTCTTCCACTCAACTTCCCCCGTTTTGGCGTCAGCTGGAGCTCCTCCCAAACCCCCCCACGATGGGTTGCCCGGCCGTGTTTGTTTTCCGCCTCCACCTCGGCCTTAGCCTCTAAGAGCCGGTCCACCACGGAGAGGTGCCCCTTCCCGGCCGCGACATGGAGAGGTCTCACGCCTCGGAAAGGCCGGGGCCATGGAGGGCACCTCAGCCCTTGGCACCCAAACACACAAGAATCTTGGCACTCACCATATCCAAAGCCGTGAACTCTTCCACTCAGCTTATTATCATTTTTGCCCAAAGCTCCTCCGCCCTGCTCGGGTTTCCTGGCCGTAGCTAGTTCGGTCATTCACATCGGCATTCGCCTGCAGCAGGCGGTCCAGCACACCCAGGTGGCCTGATCTGGCCGCGTAGTGGACCGGTTTTACACCTCGGACGGCGAGCGACGACTTCGTCGGGTGGGGGGCCTGGGGATGGCGCTGGTCGTGAAACCCGGGGGCCTTATTTTTGGGTGGTGGTCTGAGGTCTCGGCGCCTCTTGGCCTGGGGATACCAATAAATTGCCCGGTACATGCGTTTCGAGTGTTTCACTCTTTCGGCCCTTGGGGCTCCCTGCCGACACGGTTCTCTGCTTCCAGCGAGGCCTTTGAGGCCAAAAGAAGGTCGACCACCTCCGCGTTGCCCGCGAGGTGGAGGGGTCGATAGCCTCAGCACGTTGAGGGGAGGGTGTTTGGCTCAGCGTGTTCCCCACGAGAAGAGATGCGTTCTTCAGAACTTGTAACATCAGGTCATGCAACTCGCAGCTCAGAAACGACACATCCTTCATCTGCAGTATCCAAGCGGGTTTTCACCTGCCACACTCCTGCCCGACCTTCCCGAACTGCTGGCACACAATGCGGCGCTTCCATATCTTCAGCAAATTTCAGGCCCCCTGGCCTTCCTCGTCCTCCAGTTCCATGTCTTCTCCAGCTTCGAGGAGGCGCTGCACTTCGGCCGCATCGCGCTTGAGGGCCGCTCGGTGCAAAGCGGAGCGACCTAGGCCACGGTCGTGGAGTCTCACTCAACTCGGCTTCCCGGAGGTTCTTGCATTGTTAATTTGTTTGAAGTCATGCTTGAACCGTCTCGGATTTCACTGGTGGGAGTGTGCATTTCGGAGTGTACACCTGCTTTAGTAATAGGTCTTTGAACGATCAATGTACAAATTGTTCCTTGGAATCGGATTGACTTGGTGCAATAGGGAAAGAGCGAGGAAGGCGACGTCTACAGGATCCAACATATGCTGCCCGGTCTGAGCTCACTGAGCTCCTCGCCCTTCTCATCGAGATCCGAGCCTCGAGACTAAACAGCGGACAGCTTTAAGATATCTGATGACATCAATGGCCATATTGTTTAAACCTGCATCTGTAGTCACAGCCTAAGCCTAGCTATACTGTTACAGTATGTTCTGATTTATCAGCCAAACAGGCCAAACAGCACTCCATGCTCAAACATCAGCATCTCCTACCCCAAACTGTAAGGAATCTGAGAGTTCAACGTCCGGCTTCAGCAGCCACCTGCAAGTCGGAGCTTCCAGCAGTGGGTGTCCCCCCAAAAAAACTGCTGCCAAACTACGAATGCTTTGAGATATTGATAAATGATACTGTAGGGCTCTTGAATGATGGATGAGGTCATGTTGAAAAGGCATGAAAAGGCTTAATTGGAGTTATTTCATATGCACTATGCATGAGTGACGGTTCCTATGACGATTCCGGGACACTTGAAAAAGGACAACTTCCAGCAATAATTATGGTTCCTACTTGCGGTCCTATACGGTCCTATAGAAGTC